TTTAGATATCAATATCGTTTCAACGTTGTTCTCTTTTCCGCGCAGTCCACTCGTTTTATTGTATTTGGACTTGTAAATTTTATTTTGTTGTAATATGTGATTTAAATGAATGTAGTTTTTACATGATGTTATGTAACTGTTACTTGTTTGATTGATTCCACATGTTGCACCCAAAGTGCATGTCATTATCTATATGAAAAGTAGTGTTAAAGTGGGCAAGTTTCACACAACACATAAAATATTAAAGATTTTGTGGTGAAAAAATCGAGAAAAGGCATGAATGCCTGGCAACGGAGGTCAATGCAGTTCAAGGACGAATGGAAGGAGCAGAAGAGAAGGTAATGAAAGACGTATGCACTGGGATGGTGAAAGTTCGGGTTAGGGACGAATGTGTGGTGATTGGAAAGACAATGGAATAGCGTGTAAAGATGCACTAGTTACTTTTCAGTGAGGCTCAATACGACACCATAGCATGCCGATGATAACATTTCGATAACTCTCTTCAAAAGCAGCTGACGAAGCTCGGGGTGTTAAGGTTCACCAAAAGGTAAAGCAGGTGTAACTTAACATACCGTTCTGGCTGGATGGTACGGCAGGTGAAGCTGGACATCGACCTTTGATCAGGGACGCAGAAGCTTTTTTGTACGAGTATTGGAATAAGGCTCACTAAGCGTACCAAGTGGGGAGCTTGCGCTGAACAGCTTAGGCGCGAGACGAAATAAACAAAAATTCGGGTCGATTTCCCTCATAAGACGTAGAAACCAGTCGTCATTGACGATTAAAAAAAGTATCCAAATTTCAAGTTTCACCAACCAGGAACCAGATGGCTTAGGAACGCCAAGTCTTTGACGTAAGCCTAATGGGAGGACTGCGTCACAAGCATGTCAAACCTACAAATATATTTTTGACGTTCTTTTTTCAAATCAGGAAATCTCGTTACAGGAAAACACGAAATTACGGTTGCAGATAGAAAAGGACCAAGCAAAGCGCTTATCTAATTGATTCTTAAGAAAATTTCCTTCGGGAAAGTTTTAATGAAGCAATCAGGAAACACTGGTAGGATGGGAAGAACATTGTGTGTCCCAGTGAAACTTGATTATGGACCGATATGGGCCACATCAGAGATTGAGATAATCCGGAGTCCTTCAATCTGGGCACCTTAGAAATCCCGCCAGCTTTTCCTTGCTTGACAGGAAAACTAATACTGCCCCATTATTTTGCTAGAAGTGGACCACTTCACTATGACGAAAGAGTGGTGATATCTGGCTAAGGAACTGAGGATGGCCATTAACATAATTTAGTCTGTGGGGCCTGGTTCGACAAATTAGTGGGAAACCTTGAAAGAACATGTTTCAGGAACCTAGTCGTCATGGGCTTCGACAACGCTTTAAACCACTCCGGACGTATAAGTCGTACTCCATCGTCGGACGAAATTAAGGCGGTAATGCAGCATTTCCTTCAGCAACTCGATATCTAGCCCGGCCTGTCATGGATTAAGAAAGAAACGTTGAAGGCTGTTAAGGACAACACTGCAGGGCAAGAAGGTTGCTGTCAACTGTAAATTATTGACGAGATAGCAAAAAGAAAATGAAAATAGTTTAGCTCCCTCCACACTTCTGGTATTTCTCAATAATAGGACTGTTTTGGAGCTGGATCTGCGAATGAATCAGGGCCTTGTACTATCCGAATATAATTCTGGGACGACTTTGCAGCGCTGCTGTGAAAACAATAATCTCTGTCTCCCAGCTGGCGGGAAGTCCAGGTACGTAACGGTTAAAGTCTGAAGCTGCAACAAGAAGGTGATTGTCATCCCTCAGAGGTCACTGGGGTTAAATGCAGCTGGAAGCTGAAGGATTTATGCAGGAGATTTATTACTACAAAAATATGGAAAGCACAATAAATTAGATAAGTGCTTTATGGTAAAAAGCCGTAAACATTGAAGAAGTGAAAAAGAATTGAAAAACATGTCAACTATTCAGACCACTGACTTTCGAAAAGAGTTCAGAAGTTCAGTTATTACAGTAGCCTGTAGGTCGCAAGTAGTAAAACAATTGTTAGACCACGAAAGGATTTTCAGCTAGAATTCACCTAGCTGACTCCTATATAACCGCCTCCAAAGCATAAACTGAACCATATGTTTTCTACAACGCTTCGAAAAATCGTCAGCAGTTGTACTCCCCTTTCGCATCTGTTGTATTACTGTGTGCTTTCGTTTCGTGCTAATATTTTTATCAACTGTCGTTTGTATGAAACTGAGTTTTTACCTTTATGTTTCATTGCTAGGTTTGAAGTTTCATTTAATAAACTGCTTTGAACTCATATAAGTTTTGTGTGGCAGGTAAAATAATATTCAGAAAATCTATTGGCCACAGTTCTTTTTGATTTACTGCAGAAAAAAAGGAAGCTCGGCCCAACAAAATGACCAACCCTATTGCAGAAAAACAAATTATATACCTTCTTTTCAATACAACCTATTCAGATAGCTCTTGACAGGTTCATCTTCTCATACAACCTATTCCCATCGAGATTTTTTCTGATGTCCCCAAAAAAGTTCTTGCACGTTAGTAAAATCACTGCCAGGGCATCGAAGAAATGATGTATATGACAGACTTCAAAGACCTTATATCACTCAAGAAAAAAGCAGATGAGGTATTTCACAAAAAAGTTGAAAATAGTGACAAATTCCCTACAAGGATGAGCGGCGAGTTAATACAACTGTATTACCAAATTTTGCTTATCTACTGC